TGAGAAACATTGTCACGGCTTTTTTAAAATGACAACACAATATATAGCTATCAAGTAAATAAGGCCTAAAAAATATACCCCTACCTTCCACTTCTATTCCCGCTATTTCTATAATGAACAGCTCAAATATCTCCAGCGACTTCAAACGAATAACATTCGGAATATTCATCTTGTACAATTGACAGAACTGCAAACCAGAATGTATGTTTGTATGAATTTCTTCGAAATAGTCTAAATTAGCTTGGAAGTAGTGGTGTATGATGTGAAATTTGACAGTACTTTGCCAGTTATGTTTATTTTAGCATAAACGATAGTATATTTATGCGAACAAAAATCTATGGCAGACAACGATATACTTGTTAAATAAATACTTGCAATTTTACTAGAAAGTAGAGAAACGTGCTTATTCGAAACTGAACTGGTCAGGTTTCAGGGTTAGCCTTTATATACCTGCGTGTTCGCCCCTCCTTATAACGAAGCCCTCCTGCCCGCCATGCTTAGGTCGTTTTTGGAAATAGTTGTTGAATCTGTACAAGGAAGGTTTTCGGAAATGTTTACGCCTCATATTGTAAGTGAGCTGTAATAACGACATCCGCCGCTGTATGCTTCTTTGCAAGGTCAAACTGAACTAACTTTCTTTTCACTTTGATGTATCGTGATTTTGTATTCTACCCGAATAACGATTTGAGAGTCATTACCGATGGATTTACACAATAAAATTCATAATGAAATTTAGAATACAATACTCTCTTGATAGCTTTCCTTTCGATAACTTTCCGTTTCCAAAAATTTTCCGCCCCTACAGGCCTTTGGGCGGAAAGTCATCGAGAGAGTATTGCAAGAAGTAACGATATAACGATGGACATTACTAACCGACACTAATATATTCTCGCGTCTCACTAATTTATGTAACTCACGTAATAAAACGTAACCAACTGCGTATAACAAATTAAACATAAATCGGATAAGAAATCGATGAAACAAAATAACAAATCATCGCGTATTAAATTTATTTATCACATATTTACACTTTAAATCAAATGACTACAATCATCACCCCAAGTGGCGAAATATTTGCAATCCTTTTCTTTCCATTTCTTCAAGTATGGTACTTGGTAATTCCAGTTTCTTTAAATCCTCTTTCGTCAATATGCTCTTCGTTGTTATCCTCTTCATAATAAATTGCAAGGAAAAATCCCTCAGAGAATAATCTGGCGAAATGCAGAAAAATATATAAGTAACAAAATATCAGCCGCATTTGATGTGTTGACATAATATTGATACTACGATAGAATGGAAGGATCAAAATCACATTTACTGTGTCACTCCTTTGTATACTGACATATATTTTTCTTTCTCGATGGAATATATATGGCGTTTTATAGACAATCATTCCAGATATCAGAAATACTTCAGATATTAGATTTGGCTTATGGATGTAAAATATGCCTATACGATTATTAAGTTCCTTTTTCTTATTTTGATTAACTAAGTATCGGATGTGTTTAATTAGAACGTCACGTATAGCGTACATGTCTCCTGGCGCGATTCCTGAACATTGATGTCTGCAAAAGTCATCTAGAACAATGAATAGTAAAAGAATAATTTATAATATTGTTACACTCGCGGACGCGGAGAGGAATAAGACACTTGAATACAAAACGAACAGGAACTTTATTATAAAGCAATCCAATATGCACATCCAGACAGTTTGCAAGCTGTCGAGAGACTCTCTCTCACGGCTGTTATAATCAAACAGCCGAAACACACTCTTAGCAACCGTTGTCAAAGATCTCGTCTCGCAACCCGCGGACTTCAGATGCGACGCACTCGCAACACTGCCCCCCTCTCTATCAATTGTTGTCCCGACAATTGATTCTGTTTGTCTTCTGGGGTTCTGTCTTGTCCTGACCTCAGCTGCTGCTGCAGGTCTTTTGGAACGTTGAATTCCCCATCTGAAGAACAGCAGAAACTTCCATCATCTTCCCGTAGAAAATCCATCGTGTCGTTCTTTAATTCTCAATCTCTTCTTTCTTCGATCAGAGTCTTCAGAAAAGGGGGGGGAATAATTTCCATGGTCCCGTCAATCTCCCAAAGGAGATATCCCCAAGTCTCCACCTTGGCATTTGCCCTTTGCTCATAGCAAAGGCCTACAGGAAAAAACCATGGCCAAAAAACCTGTAGGCAAGGTGGGCTTCTAAGTTGATAACGAAGTGAAGACCACCAACTGATTGAACTGCTTTTACTGCAAGAAACAAGACGAAAAAACAAGCAAACACTTTTCCACTAAATCTTACTTATAATTAGGTTCAAAAATAATTAATCCCTCTCCTGATAAGAGGCTAATCTATCCAAAGTCAATTCAGGCCAATTTCAAAGTCTTCGCACGCTCAATTGCCACACGAAGCGAACTTATCCCCTCCACTTGAAGAGTACGTTTAACAAAACCATCAGATAAAGCGGCAATAAATTGAGAACAAGCGATCTTCTCACGCACCTCAAGCGAGCACTCAGGATACGCTTTTCGTGACAAGCGCTCCAAATCCGCGCCTAACGACGCGAAATCTTCTCCCGAACACTGTTTCCGATTAGTGAACTGAGAATAAAAGTTCTGCGCAAGTTCACCCTCACCGAAACGCAACTCCAATTTCGATCTAAGATCCGCAAATGTGAGAGTGTCGTTCCCATTGTCACACAAATCGAGTAAAGCACGCGCTTTTCCTCGGAGACAAGAAGCCAGAACAACCGCTCTTTCCGCTTCCGACCATTGATTTGCACTCGCGATTAATAAAAATTGAGAAAGATATTCGCGCCACGGAGCCGTCCCGTCGAAAGTATCCGGTTTTAGTTTTAACGCGGAAGCTGTTCGCCCATCCCCACTCGCCCTCTCCTCCGCACGCGACCCGTGTAACTCACGCATCGCGCCCCCCGCGCTCTCGCACGAAGAAACATTCTCGGAGGGACTTAGCTGTAAAAGTCGTTGCTCCAGGCAACTCAGAGCTACGTCGCGCTCTTGTAGACGAGCCTCCATCTCGCTGCGAAAACGCTGCTGTTCCCGACTCTCCTGCCGCCGCTCCTCGCGCAACTGCTGTAGCTGTAACAGCACGGCTTCCAAAGTGCCCTCCGCCGGAATCGACGTTGCGGCCTGGGAGCGAGTTCTCACCGGGGAGTGTGTCATCGCCATTTCGAAGGAAACTCCCTGCAGCGTTGCACTGAATCACTCACTCACGTCTCGCTGCGTTTGTGTCTCCGATATCGGTCCGTCGGATCGTCGAATCCCGGACGAGCCCCCAAAATGTTACACTCGCGGACGCGGAGAGGAATAAGACACTTGAATACAAAACGAACAGGAACTTTATTATAAAGCAATCCAATATGCACATCCAGACAGTTTGCAAGCTGTCGAAAGACTCTCTCTCACGGCTGTTATAATCAAACAGCCGAAACACACTCTTAGCAACCGTTGTCAAAGATCTCGTCTCGCAACCCGCGGACTTCAGATGCGACGCACTCGCAACAATACAATGAAGAAACACAATGCACTTCCAGTACTAAATACTAAATACTAAATACTAAATACGTCTGATTTGCCATGCATACTCATATTAGAGCTAATGAATAGCATAACATCATGCAATATCCATTCTTATGAAAATATTAGGCTGTACAGATTAATACTATATTACTACTATATTAATACAGATTAATACTATATTAATACTATATTAGTGGCATAACACAAATATGATATTCAATTGTTGTAGAACATGCTTTCCCTGTATAATTTTAATAAATAGAAATACGAGAATGTAGATACGAAAAATATTACTGTTAAACTTCTTTGACAATAAAACGTACTGATTTAAAATCTATTATACAAGGTGGGAGCTCGAAAGTTCCAGCCAGACACTAAGATTTTACGGGAAATTTAAATTTAAACAAAAAATTTCCTATAAATGTGTAAAAAAATATTTAGTTAAAAAGTTAATGTCCAAAAATCACGGTTTATATATATTTTTCCAAATATCTAGAAAAAAGGGTTGCTTAATAAAAATACCGAAACAAAATTTGTAGAGAATTAAATTATCTTTCAAATAAGATCTTTCAAATAAGATAATTGTAATACGTTACATAAGTTTTGAGATAACCAGTTTCAAACGTATAAAAAAAGTGTTCTTTTCGGTTATCAACGAGAGAGAGAGAGTGAGAGAGAGAGAGAGAGAGAGAGAGAGAGAGAGATAAAGCTTCTTAAAATACTCTTCATTTATGCTGTTATAATTATAGTCTACGCTGTAAAAAATTAATTAGAAAGTACTTACAGAGGCTGATACAACGCATCCTAGTCTGCCGCTCGTTTTTAGTGCGTTTGCTCCTTTCATGTTCTATTGGAATCTTTTATTTTGAATTGAATTTAATATTTCTGTATTACTTAAATTATTCATATTAAGATCTTGTACTTCTTTTTTGAACTGAGTGAGAAAAATTGTCACGTCTTTTTTAAAGTGACAACGCCAACATTTTGCAGAAGTATCACTTTTTTCTCTTCTTTTTTCGCTATTTCTATAATGAAAACCTCGCACGGCTCCAGTAACTTCAAACCGATAACATTCAGGATAATTTTCATCTTGTACAATTTACAGAGCTGCGAACCAGAATGTATGTTTGTATAAATTTCTTCGGAATGGTTTATGTTAGCTTGGAAGTAGTGGTCTATGATATAAAGTTTGACAGTACTTTGCCTAGTTATGTTTATTTTAGCATAAACGATAGTATATTTATGCGAACAAAAATCTGTGGCAGACAACGATACACTTTTTAAATAAATGCAGTTTTATTAGAAAGTGGATGACCGAGCTCATTCGACTTGAACGGAAGCATCAATAAAGTTATAATATAAAAAGAATACGTTATTACAATTATCGATTATGATATATTTAATTTTTCCAAAAACTGGTGAATGATAGGTTTGCATATTTATGACAGAATTTACTGCATAACGAGTTCCTTTTAATCTAACCTATGAAACACAATAACAATTTTGAAAAGACGTTAGTAATAAGATTTTATAATCATTATACTCGTTTACTAAATTGAGTTTTGAAATAAACGTTCCGTACGAAAGTCTTACCAAGAAGCCTTCGTTACACACAAATCTGTGACACAGATGCATTTGATGTTTCAATGACAAAGAATACGCGGGACATTTCCTAGACGTTATAACTGTACTCTTTAATTTGTTTGTGTTAACCTTCAAATCGCATTGTGGAAAAATTCTTTGTTGGGCCGAATTCCCTCATAATTTTTCCATAATGCAATATATAATGATGTTTTATTTTCAATGTACATTTAAAAACTCGAATATACAAGTTTAAATATGTTGGTACCAATGTCTCATATAATTCAATAATATTGTTTGTAATGGATTCTAACATCGATATATTAACTATTTTTCGTAACATCAAATAAAGTTTCCATATTGTATTTTTAGTTGGTATTAAATCATCTATAAATAGACTAAGATTTGAAATTAAATAATGCATTTCTGATGCAGACAAAATAATCATTTCACTTTTTATTGTTTCTAATTTAAAAAAGGGATATTAACATTAAATGAAGGATGAGTAAAAGTTTGAATTCTCTCATTGAGTATCTCTATAGAAAATGCGTTTTCTTCACATATAAAATAACGTAAAATTTTAGCAACATCATATCTGCAAATTCCTTCCAATAAATCGTGCATTGGGTCGACTGATATATTTCTAGTTACGTGAAAATTAATTATATTGTTAAAAATATAAGTTTCTACAATCCCATGATTATTATCGGTTGTTTGTAATTCTCAATATTTTTTAATAAACTACTGTTTTAAACTGTAGTCTTATGTATTTCTTCTTCAGACATGTAACATATACGACAACAGTGAGAAGAATTAAAACTTTTACTAAAACCTAATATCGTATTTAGACCTAAATTGTCATCCAGGATATGACATAAAATAAAATAAATCTTTTTTATTACTCCACCAACATTAATAGAAATTCCTTCAGTGCAAAGTTTATTAATATCATTAATAACATGAGCAAAAATTCGTTTATTGCCCAAAGCTTTATGATGTTGGTAATTATGCAATTGTACCAAAAGTAGGTTTTCTAACAAGCTAGAAAATTTACTTGGCAAATTACTAATAGCGCAATACACAACACTAATTTTATTCCTGTTTTTACAAGACTCTAAAGGATTATTAATTTCAAGATCATCGAAGTACAGAGTAAGTGGCAAAATAAATTTACCATTTGAATTTTTTGTAATTGATTTCCAAAACTCAGTTTGGCAAATAGAAATTAAAGATTTACTCTTTTTAGCTAATTCCATAAAGGATGTTATTTTTAAATATACATCTGGAAGCTCTAAAAATTTTGTTAAAATCGATTTTATGGGTACTATACTTAATTTTTGGTACTGTATATACGATTGAGTTCTTCTTTTAGTTTTATCATACGATAAAGTACTATTACTAATTTTGGTAGAAATAAGAAATTTTTTCTTTTAAATATTTTAGTGTCTGGTATATGTTTTTAAATGGTTCAAAGCCATGTTTTATTGTATGTAACAAAATATCTAAGTGTTGTACATTTTTACATTTATGTGATATAAAATCAACGCAAACTGAAATATAATTTATAGCAATATCATTTATAATCTCGTGTATCATTTTTCTGTTTAAATATCCAGCCGCGTATAGTTTTGTAACGAACCAAAGAGCATATTCACATATAAAGTCTTTAAAAACTTCAATATCTACTTTGTCTGCATCATCAATCAGCTTGAATAAACTATCAGTATTAAAAACTTGAAACTTACTTTCAAAAGAACATTGTGATAATATATTTTATGATTCGATATCACTCTGTACTATGTTCTTTTGGCATAATATATCTTGTATAGATACTTTTCTTAAATGTGATTTTATCACGTGAGTTCGTAAAGTATAAACATTATTATATATACCAACGTAGTTTGTAAAGTTACATTTCACTTCCGAGTTCATAAGCATTCTGTGTTTCAGTTTGATATGTAACATTACTGTTTCAATCGATAAGAAACTTTTATCACAAAAGAAACATAAAATCATTTTCAAATGAATCTTATCTACTAACAAGTTATAATGATATATATATATATATATATATATATATATATATATATATATATATATATATATGAGTGCTATTTTAATTAATTGCTTTATTTTCGTCTCGGAATGATTGAAAAATTTTGCTCAATACGTACTCTGTACTAGGAAACATTATATTCCATTTTGTTGTAAAATTATAAATACCTTTCTGAATTAATGTCCAAATATGTTTGCTCATCGGAGGATAACTTATTTGAAAAACGTGAAACGTTTTAAAACAAATATCTATAGCTTCTATAATACTTGTTGTCTTATATAAGATATCATCCATTTGCACATACATTTCCTTAATCTCATCCGGTGATCCAAGAATAATTATATAAGGTTGTAATGTAATTTTCAATATTTCTGCATTTTTTTGTGCTTCTTCTCTAATAATAGTCGTCTTCAGAAACCTAAAAATATAATCCATACTATAAGATTTAAAAAATCGTTAATGCTGATAAATATTTTAACAAAAACATTTTTATTTAAAATATAATATTTAGATGCACGCTTATTTTATCAGGCTTAATCTTGAATTTGCTATTGAAGACCTATAATATTTGTCATCATGTTTTTTTATTGTTTTTGGCGGGACTAAATATGGGAGCAATATAAAACCTTGAACAATTTTTATATCTAAAACAAAATTATAAAGTTGTTCTAGTAATTAAAGCAATCAGTATTAAGGCTCCTGGATACTCGCTGCAGCCAATTTGTTTGATTACGTCACAAGCGAGAGAAATCATGTCAATTTATGCGACGGTGTATCATGGAAATATATATATATATGGAAATAAAAGAATATATGCTCAAAAAATGGTACTTGTAATAGATTCAGCACACTTACAATAATGCACACTTACGAACACTTTTCTTTAACCTAAACCTGAACCTGAACAATCAATAAATACTCCTAAAATGGCTGTGATATTTGGCCTTACTGGAAAGGAAAAAACGTTAAATGACAGCTGTCGAACAGAGAAATATCAATTCTTACGTGTAAAATGATGCTCTAATTACAACGTCCGTACATTGTTCAGACTTCATGGTCATGTAATAATTATCTGAATATTTTTAAATAAATAAACCAATTTCTATTGCATATTCCTGTAGCTTAATTTTCGAAATATGATATTATACTTTTATAAGGTATTTTTTTATTAACAATTTTCCAGCTTATAACACTTCACAGTTGCTATACCGATAAATGTCTTATGTTAACAATATACTTATGTTATACATGGCCTTTATATATATAAAAATGTAAATTTGGGATTGTGCAAAAACGTATTACCATCCAATATGAGTTCGCGCAATACCAAGTTAACACCCAGTGTGTGTGTGTATGTGTGTGTGTGTGTATATATATAAAGGCCATGTATAATCATATAAAATAAGTATATTGTTAACATAAAACATTATTGTGAAAACTTCTAGTGATAAACCTAATAAATTAATCGTTATTATATCTTTTTTACATGATATAAAACACACACACACATACACACACATATATATACATATATTTTTTTTAATAATAAAACACATATAGTAAAAAGATACTGGCATAATAGTCTTAACTTTTATCCATACTCTATGTAATTTTTTTATGTCTTGTACTTATATTTTTATATGTTATCACTGCTGATTATTCATGGCAATTCATAGCAATTTCACATGGACGAAGTGGCATTTGTGGTATAAAACCACAATATATTTATATATATATAATATCGCTTTATATCATAAATACAAAGTCGACAATTTGTATAATCCGGTATAATATATAAAATATGATAAAACATGCAAGCAATAATGTAAAAATAAAAAACCTTACTTTCGAAATTTTCAGTGAGACACTCCAGCTTCAAGTATTTTAATACATTTTTCACTTCTTCATTTGCCATAGTCCTGTGGATTCCTCGTCAATATTAGTCAATTATTGCTCTAGGCACATTAAATTATCCTTGGACGTCACTTTGGAGTACCCAACCTGTAAAGTAGAAGAAGAGAATTTATATCATCACAGAACGCCAGACGGCCCTGACTCTCGAAAAAATATTGCGCACGATATTTAGTGACATGCTATAGTTCACGTAACATATACTATATTTCACCAAATATCGTATAGGATATTATTTTCGAGAATCAAGGCCCAGATAATAAGGCAGAGAGAGAGAGAGAGAGAGAGAGAGAGAGAGAGAGAGAGAGAGAGAGAGAGAGATTGCTATAAAGGCAGAAATTTTCAGAAAATTCTAGAATAGATAGCGCGGTTCGTGGGATTCACGTCTAGATGGAAAGTTAGATATATACGTAAAGTAATACTTTTCTTGTCTAATCATGTAGTTAGTGAGGAAGAAAGAGAATAACCAGTACGAGCATATATCGCGTCTTCTCTTCCTTCTTTTTCATTAACTACATGACAGAACAACAAAACTTATTCTACGCATATATCCGTCCTTCCATCTAAGCTTCCTTCGAACAAATCGCACAGTCTATTCTATTAGTCTATGGAATATTTATATCGCTAGGTAAGATAGAAAAAGAGAGGTTAAATACTCACGTCTCTATATTTGATCCATTTGATCTCCAATCTGATCACTGTATCTGATCACTGTATCGATTTTACATGAGAACCTCGAACAAACTATTACAGGATAACTTCGAATAACTCTCTCCTGCCATCGAGAAGTTTCGAGAAGATATTCACTTATGCTCACCAACGTCGATGGGATCATAATGCTCTGCGCGCGATAAACGAGCGTGTAGAACACGCGAGCGTTAGACTCGCTGACGCTCTCGTTTGTTTTTGTCGCGCGCAATGGCTGCATTCAGCAGACTCAACAGTTGCACAACAGTTGAGTAATTTGTCAATGTAATTGGTCTAGATTTAGGGATTTAATAGCAAGTACCAATAATCGTTGATTGCTCACTGAGCGCTTTTTCTACTGAATGCGCCCAATATATCACGGTTCCAATCTTCATCTCTACGCGAAGACGCTGCGTTAGCGCTGGCGGCATTGCTGTTGTTAAGTAAACAGCCTCGTGCCTTTCGCACGTCTTTGGTTGTGTTCACTTTGGACACTCACGCATTGTAAGCG